ATATAATAATAATAAATAAATAAATAATATATATAGTTATATACTACTATATATATATATATATATATATATATATATATATATATATATATATATTACAATGGAATCCGCCAATGTCCCTACGGTAACATCTCCGTCGAATCCGGTACGATGTATCGTTTGTCGTCGTACGGACTCAGAGCGATTTTCGACTCGGACACCGTGTATACTTGGTGTAGCTTGGATCTTATACACGACTGGCGATGAGTCATTTCGATCTCTTCATTCAAGCACCGCGTATAATCGTCGAACATTATTGTTCGCGTTACGACGTTATTCTTTACACCTTTCACCTTTTTAATGTTTTTTGCCGTCCACCCTCACCGCGTACATCTTCGCTCTGAGTCCGACGAATTCCGTCATTATCGCACCGTTATTCTCATCCTTCATTAGACCGGGTACTTTTTTATTCGCGAGAGGCATTCCGTACGCGTTGTCCGTCGGATAATCGCTCGTATCGAATCTAGCGATATCGCGTTTCATCGCCTCGTACACATCATCGCACTCGATGTGGTATACGAGACTGTCCGTGTCGGTGTATATGATCTTACATTTCTCGCGATACAGCGGTGACATGTATTCGTGGTGAAATTCGTACAAGCAGATTTTCGATATGTCGAGTATACACATACCCACGTAAATCGGCTTGTTGAATTTGACCTCGAGTTTACGCAGTTCGACGGCGATTAAGTTTTCCGCAAAGACGCTGCGGCTGTGGAAATTTGGTTTCGCGATCATTGCCTCCGCGCTATACCGTCCGTCCCATTTGGTCAAAAGTTTAACGTCAACGTGATTGCGCACATTTTCCATTGTTTTACCGAATATCGCGTTGTTTATTAATTTGTACAAATTTTTTTCGAAATCGTTTTTCGCGTACGTTCTAAAGTGTGTATTGAGTTCGATGTAATCGCCAGGCGGATTGAGCAAATTGTAGTACGCGATATATCTTTGCGATACGAAGACCATGGCGCGTACATTGCTGCAAGTTGCGATAATGGATGACATACCGCTTCGTATAACGTCGCGAGAAGTTTATCCTGTCGCATGCCGGGTGGTTTATCGCGCGTCGGACAGAAAGGTAGGTCAGTGTGTCGATCGTGCAAATGATGCGGATACTCGAGATCGACCTCGAGAATATAACCCGTAGACGAATTCGGAGCGATCGCGCTCGCATCAAAGTTCTCAATGTCTTCCATTCATCGAAATTCGGCATAGGGCAACGGTTGACACATCGCCCATCCATACAGATTATTTACGTCAAAGTACATAAGATATAATGACGGTTTCGACGGATCGTACGAACGCATGTACTTGTTATTGGCCTGCGCGTATCTGCCGGAACATTGACTGAGACCGCCGCGTATACAGCGTTCGATAAACATAACCAAATCGATGTCGGTGAGCAACTCAGATTTTACGCGCGTATATTTCAACATGGCGTCCCACATGAAACCTGGCAATGTGTAGTAATGCGCGGGATCAAGTCCATAACTCGCGACGCAACTTTCGCGGAAATTTTCGAAAACGTCGGCTAATAACAAGACATCGGTCTTGAGATATAGATCGCTGTATTCGCCGAGCGTTAGGATGGAGAACCGTTGCCAGACGTTCGCATAATCGTTCTCCGACACCGTGTCACCGGTCAATGAGCTATAGAACGATTCGCGTGGTGGTAGGTGCGTGTCCTGCAGCTTGTCCGCGCGATCCACGTATTCGTACGGAAAGACACCTTTGCGCGTCAACAAGTCAAAATATTCGTTTGATATCGTGGAAAATTCGGAATGTAAAATTTTTAATTTTCTTTCGTTAGAAAAGATGCTAATTTATCAAGGCTGATATTTAAAAATTTGTACGAATCTATGAACCGCAAGCGTACACGATTTCGCGAATCTGATCTCTCGGTGGTATCTTTAACGTGTTTTGTAAACGAAAAATATTTTTCTTTTGTTATCAGCAGCACGTCGATCCTGCCTTCGAACGCTGTAGCTATTTCCGTGATGATAAAGTGCGCGTCATAACCGGATAAGTTGTGAAATATTATGGGAATGCAATATGAATCTTTATAATTTAGATTACAATTTGAGTGCGCGGGACCACGGTAACGACCGGTAAAATGGCAATGATCGCGTACCAGCGTGTCGTCCGACGCAAATGGTTTCTCGCAAATGTGACAACGCGTCGCGCTACGATATGCCTCCCACTGCTCTCTCGACAACGTTTCTATGGAGACATTCGTGGATAACAGAATTTTTACTTGATGCGCCAAATCTTCGAGTTGCCGAATGAACCACGCAACGCAATCTTCGTCGCGACGAAATCGATATACCGATAACACGTCGTCGTACGAGCATCGCACATAGTATCCGATGCTAAACCTCGTGCTGCTGGTAGGTGTACGATGCGTCTTCCCTCTCTGCCGGTTCCGTTCGCCGTAGTACGCACTCCAAGTCCGCGTAAACGATGAATGGAAGTTGTTCCTTATTCGTGTGGTTCTTGAATTCGAGCCACTTGTCGTCCTCGCTCGGTAGTCGGATGGAGCAATCGTTCATCTTTTCGCAGTCCGTTGTATGTGACTGCAATCTTTCAGACGAACTGAAGTAATGTAGACATCTGCAAACGGAAAATATGATTTTTTAATAAACAATTTTATAAGAGAATTTTATAAGAGAAATAATAAAATTTGTTAAAATACATACCGGTCGCAAAAGTATTTCTTATGTCTGTATTTATTCAGTTGCGAGCTCACAAGACGGGATAGATCTTTGATGTACGCAAAGTGCCCCGCGTTGTCGTCGCGTGGATCCTGCACGTATAATATATTTGCGTGCTTCTCCATCTTCCTTGATGTCAGCCGTATCGAGAGAATCTCCTTTTCCTTGATACCGTAGACGTTGATTGAGATGTCGTTGAGATGTTCTGATTCGTTGTGATGAACTTCTTAATTTGTTTAACGTCATCGGAAACGTAATGTCTTGCAAATTTAACACCGTATAATGCGGGTACGACAATTCCCGATTTGTGATTCCTTTCAGCCGGATACAGAGCCGCGACCACCGACCACGCGAAACACGCATTGTCCTTGGATTGTACATTGATCACCGCTCGCTTTAACATAATTTCTCGCGGTAATTCGATGTAACATCTCGCGTGCATTGGATTATATTTGTTCACGTTTACAGTCAAATTTAGAATTCGCGACAACGCCCATCCACTATCGCGTTCTTAGAATTCTTCGAGCGACGCCAACGTGGGTTCGATAACGTACTGCTCGTACCACTCGTCCAAATTTGATACTCGAAAGAGTTCACTATTTTTAGTGTTTATACTTTTGTTCGCGTGTTTCTTGCCCGTCACAAACTCGCCGTTAAATGCAGTGTTCACTTTCACACTATCGTGTCTTTGTACAATGTCTCGCACTCGCTCGAGCACTACACCATCAGCGTCTTCTAAAAATTGTCGCGGCTCGATATAGTCCACATTGATCACCGTACCAGTTAATATACGGTTTTCAAATGCCGTATCGATCTCTCGCCAAACGAGAGGTCCAGTGTCTCTACTCGCGTATTCACCACCAACGTGCACGAAACGTCTTTCTAGTTGTACTTTTGCACCCGCGAGTCGCGCGATCCTCGCCACCGCAGATTGTCTATTTGGTGAGTCGACGACGCTTAACACGGCTAAGTTCCTCGAGTTGTTCGATGCACTCCTCACATCGTTGCAACCACGCGAAACACTCCACCAAGGTAGCGACTTGATTGCACTGCTCCAGCAGCTCGCGTTCCATTCGCTCTAGGTGTTCCATATTGCAAAATCTTGATTCTTTTAAATTGTTGTGCTGTCTCATCAACACAATTCTACATTTTTTACTTTCTTTTTTTCTTTTCTCTATAGCTGCTTTAACTCGAAGCCAGTATATAAAGCGTTGTATTTCCGACATGTCCGGAGATTGATGGGAATAGAACAACCATATATATGATTATCCTCACTTCTTGGAATTATCTCTGCTACTTTTTGCTGCGAGAGAGGTAATAATATATTGTATGCGTGTCCTCTATAATGATAATATGTGCACGCGTCCAGAATTATTTCCGCTCTCTCAGAAGGAGCGGAGAAGCAGAGAGTCGAATTGTAGCGTCCCTTAACTCTTGGACGAGGAATCGGGAAATGGGGAGTTGGGGTATAGTGTCTCTTTATAAAATACACCGCCACGTTCACTGGTAGATGAGAGATTGAATCCCATAACAGAGAACTTGTTAATTCTTCCAATGACCTTTCCATATTGTTTTTATATCACATCACACTCTTCCACTTGTATATGCCTCGTTCACAATGTTGTCTTTTTTCAATTTGTGCAAATTGGGCACATGTTGCATGGCATTATCATATAGACGGACTGTTGGCAATTGGAGCAAAATCGGCTGTTTAGCGCATTGAGAATATCTATCTCGTGCTTCCTAACGGCATACAATACTCCAATGTCAGTGTCCGCCAGACGAACCATGCATTCGGCACACAGAGTTAGTGCACCACCCGTTGAATAATAAAATTGTATTGAACAATACTTTTATATTATTCAACGTCAAAGGAGTTACCGAAACGGGTTAACAATTTTTTCTGCATAATCCGTAAGGTCATCACTTTGATTACTTACGTAATTGCTATCGTCAGACAATGCGTGCTCTTCGTCTTCAATATCAATGTCAATATTGTCAATATTGTCAATCTCTATTTCTTCTTCATTTTCAAACACTTCGTTCACTATATTCACAAAGTCTTCCTCATCCATATTAACACTATTTCTATATTCAACACATTATCCATTTCACCGTCACCTATTTTTTCACACACATTAGACTTCCATCTACTGTGATCCTGCACACCCCTTGACCCATTATATATCATCGACAATTTCTTTGTCCCTTTGTCGGAGCATCATCATAGGTCTCCCCAATTTGTTTATAGCAGCCGGAGTATCGGCGCTTCTCTTGATACGCCGCGACACGTACGCTGATTTCCACGAAAAAAACATCATGAGTCTCTCTGATTTGTTTATAGTAACCGGAGCATCGACGCTTCTCTTGACACGCCGCGACACGTACGTCGCTTTCTACGAAGAGCTATCTTTTCGCGGGCTCTTCCTAGAAAACAAATTGAACGTCATCGTGCTCCTTTGCGAACATGTCGCTACATGTTTGATTGCAACAA